ATTTTCCCTTTTAGAAACCATCCCCCTGTTAAACCTTTGGTTTAAAAATTTTAACCGTTAAAAAATCGGACAAAATTTCCCTTAGACCATCCTTTTACTGTAATACCTTTACAGGACTCGGACCATCCGTTACTGAAATTCCTTTAAACGGGACATCGGACCATCCTGTTACTAAAAAAACCGTTATCAGACATCTGACCACCTGTTACTGTAATACCGTTCCAGGCTCTGGACCTTTTTACTGAATACCCGTTATACGGACTCTAGCCATCCTGTTCTGTTCCTTTTATACAGGACTCTAGCCCATCCGTTACTTAAACCGTTATACAGGACACTAACCATTTTTTGTTTTTTATAAAATTTTTTTACTGAAATACCGTTTACGCCATCAGACCATCCGATAAATCTTTAAATCTTAAAGCGGTTTTAGCTTCGTAGGATCAAAAACGGGACATTGAGTTTTTTTTTCCAATCCAATGGGGTGCTGGGTTTTGTGTTCTAAAGAGCCGGTCTCCATTTTGGAAGGGACACGTGCCCCCCCTGGGGCCTTCGGGGCCCAAAAACCTCGGCTGACGGTCGAGCGTTTATTTTTTTGACATCTGGATTGCGCCTGTACCTGACGACCACTGTCCACAGAAGAGGATTTAGACCTGGGCTATAGAGAGAGCGAGAGAGAGAGCGAGCTCTGGTTCCCCCCCGGGACTTCGTTTTTGTCTTGCCAATCAGGAGTTTTGTTTTTGGGGGCCCCCTGTGTCCCCTTCAGTTAAACCTAAGGGAATACAGGCGTGTAAAAAAGGCTCACGAAAAAAATGAAATGGACTAAAACTGGGGAATGATTTTACGGAGCTCTATTGGATTTTCACCTTTTTAAGATCCAAAAGGGTTTTTTTTTCCCCAAATTTTCCCCCCCAAACCCATGTTTATTATTTGAACGCTGGATCTTTGGTCGCTCCCTCTCCCCCTCTTGGGTTTTGAACCCGCTATTGGTCAAAAGTAGGTGTTTTTTTCTCCCCCCCCAGGGCGTTCTCAGTATTTCGCCCCTCTGCTTTCCCCAAGGGTGGGGATCCCATCCCAGGGGGACCACCTCCCGGTCGGGTTAAGCTAAACGTATAGGGGGTTTTGTTTTAAAAGCCCTAGCAGTTAGCATTACCTGCCTGGGGGGGGCCCAAACACCTACATGTTTTGCTTAGCCCCGCTCGGGCCACACACCAGGTTTTTGCTTACCCCGCTCTGGGGCCCCCACCTGCATGTTAGCATTTAGCCCTGCTTGGGGGGCCCCCTCCTACATTTTGCATTTGCCCTGTTCTGGGGCCCCCACCCCGCTGTTACATTAGCCCTGCTCTGTGTCTCACACGGGGTCCTGAAAAGGTTCCTGACTGTTTTTCCAAAAGGCCCTTTAAAGGGTTCCTTTCTGTTTTGCAAGGGGGCTGGGCCCACATTCACTAAAAATACCATGCTTTGTATTTTTTTTTATTAATTTTTTAATTTTTGTATTTAGCAACGCTTTTCAGAGCGACTTTTCGGACCAATTGGGTTTTAATGCCTTTTTCAAGGGGACATCAAAATTTTTTCCCCAGTCGGCTCGGGGATTAGAAACCCGACCCTTTTTTTTATGGCACAACTCTCTTACCACTAACTACCTGCCGCCCGTATTGATGATTAGATGCTCCCAAAAGGCCCCATTCCTTTTTTGGTGCCCCCACTTTTGTCCCGGCCCCAGAGCTCGGGCTAAATATGCCTAATAGGGAATAGGGTGTCATGGGGTCGGTCTAAAATAGGTACTATTAGGGAATGGGTGCTGGGGCCCGGCTAAAATAGGGGACTATAGGGAAAAAGGGTGTCATAGGGGCCCGGTCTAAATAGGTTATATAGGGAAAAGGGGTCAAGGGTCTGGTCAAGTAGGCACTAATAGGGAATAGGGGGTCATAGGGCTCCCCTGGTTCTAAAGTGTGCATATAGGGCATGGGTTCATAGGGCTCTTCTAAATAGGGGCCCCCAAAGGAAAGGGGCAAGGGGGCCGGCTAAAGTAGGTCAAAGGGAGGGGGCCATGGGGGGCGCAGGCGGAGGGTGTTAGCTGCCAAAGGGGGGGGGAATGAGTACCCCCCACGAAACCCTTCCCCAAAACCCCCCCCCTCCTCCCCCAAAACCACCCCCCCCCCCAAACCACCCCCCCTTTCCCCCCTCCCCCAAACCACCCCCCCCCCCTTCACCCCCCCTCCCCTCCCCCACCTCCCCCCACCCCCCAAACCCCCCCTCCCCCTCCCCCCTAACCACCCCCCCTCCCCCCCCCTAACCCCCCCCCCTTTTCCCTCCCCAAAACCACCCCCCCTTTTCCCCCAAACCACCCCCCCCCCCCCCCCAAACCAAATTTCCTCCCTTCCCCCCCCCCAAACCCCCCCCCCCTCCCCCCCCCCCAAACCCCCCCCTCCCCTCCCCCTAAACCCCCCTCTCCCTCCTCCCCCCAACCACCCCCCCTCCCCCCCCCCCCCAAACCCCCCCCCTCTTTCCTCCCCCCAAACCCCCCTTTCCCCCCCCCCTCCCCCCAAACCACCCCCCCCCCCCTCCTTCCTCCAAAACCCACCCCCCCTTTTCCTCCCCCCTAAACCCCCTTCCTCCTCTTCCTCCTCCTCCCCCTAAACCACCTTCCTCCCTTCCTCTCCCCTAAACCCTCCCCCCCTCCTCCAAAACCCTCCTCCTCCTTTTAAAAACCAAACCCCCCCTCTTCCTCCTCCTCCTAAACCACCCCCCTCCTCTTCCCCTCCCTCCAAAACCCCCCTCCTCCCTTCCTCCCCCTCCTCCTCCCCACCCCCCCTCCTCCTCCTGCCCCGATAGTCACAACGTTTCTCAGCTGGTTTAAAGTAGACATTCCGCCAGGGGTTTGTCCCCGGGCAAACGTCTTTTGTCTAATTTTCCCACCCCTTTTACTCCGTTCAAATGCCAAACAAAAACAGGGTTCAAAAGTGGCAGAGGCACAAACCGCTGGCCCCAGGGTTTTAGGGTTTTATTCCCAAACAGAAACTCCAAAAATTATGTTGATTATTTACATGGCTCATGGGGGAAAGATCATTTCTCCAAAAAATTTTATTATTTTTAAAAAAATCTGTGAAGTTGAATGGTTGAAACTTTTATAAAAGTGTTTTGAAATAGCCTACTTTGTTCTGTGTTGTTTTGGTGTTATTTTCATCAACTCTGAATAAATTGGGATCTGGAAAAACGTCATTCTTATACATGCAACAACGAATAAAACCCAAATCTTCATCTCACGTGATGACAGGTTAAAAGGGTTTGTTTCCTACCTGAGGGTTCTGCCCTCTCAGTATGATGACAGGTTTTAAAACTGTGTTTTTCCTCCCGGGGGTTTTCTTCATTACAGAAGATGACGGTATTTAAATGTTTTTCCTCCCAGGAGTTCTGCCATCACATATGATGACAGGTTTATAACGTGTGTTTCCTACCTGGGGAGTTCTGTCTCTACATAGATGACGGTATTTAAAACGTGTTTCCTACCGAGGATTCGTATCACATTTTGATACGGGGTATTAAACGTGTTTTTCCTCCCTAGGAGTTCTTCTCTACAGTATGATGCGGTTTTATAATTGTTTCCTACCTGAGGAGTTCTGTCATCTACGTATGTGACGGGTTTATACGTTTTTTCCTACCTGAGGGTTCTGTCATTAAGTATGATGACAGGTTTTTATAAACGTGTTTTCCTACCGGGGAGTTCTGTCATCTTGGTGCGTGTTTTAAGGAGTCGGCCGGGAGGGTAAATCCCAGTAAAAACGAGTTTTTTTTTTCCGTAATCCACGAACCAGTCCATTGAAAAAACAGGCGCACTGAAAAACTCCCCCCGGGGGAAAATACCCCGGCAATACAAAATACACTGAGCTCAACCGAGCTACTATCTCCTCACAATAAACGATCACCCACAAGGACAAGGGGGGCAGAGGGAACACTTATACACAGACTAATGAGGGGAATATGAACCAGGTGTGTGTAATTGACAAGACAAGACAAATGGAGTGATGAGATGAGGAGCGTCAGTGGTTTAGTAAGCCGGTGACGACGAACGCCGAAGCCTGCCCTGAACCAGGGAGAGGAGGCAGCTTCGGAGGAAGTCGTGACACTTTTATATTTGTGTTTTGTGTCACAGTGCCACCATCCAATAGCGGACGACGTGGGCGGCGCTAAACCATCCAGCCACCTCAGCCACTCAGTTGAACCCCTCCACAATAAACTGCAAATTCACCCCCTCACTTTTCTCTCTCTCTTCAATGTCTGTGATGTTCCACTTTTACGCGTCATAATGCCAGCAGCGGGTTTGAATTATTGGATAGAAACTACATTGCAACACTGTCAGAACGCACTTGGAGTTAACGCTCAAATCTCTACCTGTCATTTTTTATCGGAACTGGGAAGTTAAGGGATTAGAAAGATGCAAGGAGACTGTCTGTCTTGTCAGTGATACTGACATGGAAAACAAAATGGTTTTGTTGATCAGCCTCATCTTGTGATATTGAGCGGTGCCGGCACAGTGTGTGATGGGGAGGTACGTCTGGTGGTTCTGTTTAAGAATGTTGGTTCTCAACCTGAGTCCACGCTGCTCCGCCGTCATCCTGGAGTCCATCTACTGGAATTCTTCAAACACTAAGTACAGTACAGTCAATTCTTCTGTATGAAACCGCTCAATGTTGTTGTGGAAATATACTGGAACTAAATACATCTGTTATATCGTCAACGTGTTGGATTTTCATTTACATTAGCGACATAGATTGTCTAAATACATATGGTGAAAGGATTGCAGAACTGTTGTCCAGATGTATCAATGTCCTGCTGTCAAATGGAAATCCATATTTTTTATAATAAATAATAATAATAATAATAATAATAATAATAATAATACCCATATTTTTCTTGCATAGTGTTTCTGTGGTCTCAGATTTTTAATAGTAAATTAATTGGCGTGTTTATTTATGATGATTACTAATTAGCAAATAATATGAACGTCATGGACATTAGGCTAATATGCAATAACAAAGAAATTACTAGTGTTACCATGACGCAATAAAGAAAACATACCAGTCATTCTGGTTGTAAAACTCTCATCTCTCTCCCTCTCTCTCTCTCCTCCGATTCCACAGGTTCTCTCCAGGACAGGGGCTGGTGCTGTTCCCTCAGATAGGGGATAAAATGGACATCGTGTGTCCCCGGGCGAGGCCAGGGGCGGCGTGGACGGAACCGGAGTACTACCGCGTGTACCTCGTGACCAGGGACCAGCTCCACAGCTGCAGCATCAGCCAATCGGACACCCCGTTGCTCAACTGTGACAAGCCGGACAGAGACGTGAAGTTCACCTTCAAGTTCCAGGAGTTCAGCCCTAATCTCTGGGGCCTGGAGTTCCTCAAGGGAAGGGACTACTATATCACCTGTGAGTGGAATTAGTGGGCTGACCACGTTCTACGCTGCAGACCCATAGGGCAGGGTTCGGAGGGCCGAAACACTTCTGTTTTTTTTTATTTCTACCTGGTAGTTAATTGCACTCACCTGGTGTCCCAGGTCTGAATTAGCCCCTGATTTAGAAGGAGAGGATGAAAAACAGAGGTGTTTCGGCCCCCTCCAGGACCGGAATTGAAGAACCCTGCCCCTAGGGTTTACACAACACATAGTTGAAGTCGGAAGTTCACATACACCTTTAGCCAAATACATTTAAACTCAGCTTTAACTCCCTGACTGATGTCTTGAGATTACACCACATAGCTCTGCAAAGGTAGAATTTCCGTCAACTCAAGGCACTCTTTGAAATCAATGCCCATTGAATTAATTCAAACAAGGCAACGGTAAACATGTCTTACCCACGAATTACGCAGCGCCCCCCCTCCTTGGGCCAATCGGTGGAATTTTGTAAATGCCGGATCTCAACGGCGAGATGCGTCAATCACCCAAGTTTCATCAAAATCGGGCCTGTGGTGTCTGAAATATCGTGTGGGTTAGCGAGACTCATATCCCTGAGCACGTGTGCCAAATTTCAGTCCAACAGATCAAGAGATATAAACGTGTGGCCTTTATAGCGCCACCGTGAGGTTGTATTGAAGGTTCTTACATACGAGTCTTGACAGTGTTTGCAACATGTGTACCATGGATTAATGTGTACCATGGATTAATGTGTACCATGGATTAATGTGTACCATGGATTAATGTCCCAACTAACAGCCCCACCTAGGATTAATACCTAAATTATTGTTTTGTTTTTGTATACATTTGCAAAAATGTCAAAAAAACCTGTTTTCACTTTATCATTATGGGGTATTGTGTGTAGATTGATGAGGAAAAACAAATAATTGAAGCCATTTTAGAATAAGGCTGTAACGTAACAGAATGTGGAAAAAGTAAAGGGGTCTGAATACTTTCCGAAGGCACAAGTATCCAATCTGTCTGGAGGGCTTTAATAACACGGGTAGGGTACTGTATAGACTAAAGACTAAACTAAAGTATTTGAGTGTATTTTTGTTCAGAGGAGACCGTCATCTTCCCTGGTTGTCTCCTATCCTGTCATATTTCATCTATTTCAGCGGTGGTCGTGTTATCAGGGCCGTGTTGGTCAACCAGGCAGCGTCTCTGTGCGTCTCCGAACCCAGTGTAGCATGAGCGAAAGCCTGGGTCCGAAATGGCACCCTATTCCCTATATAGTGCACTACTTTAGACCAGAGCTGTCAACGGTAGTGCACTATATAGGGAATAGGGTGCCATTGGGGAAGCAGCCAGAGAGCCAGTCTCACCATGTAACTTTACCCCTTGTCTCCTCCTCCTCTCCTCCTCTCCCCTCCTCTCCTCCCGCCCCTCCATCTCCTCTCCTCTCTCTCCTCTCCTCTTCCCTCCTCTCCTCCTCTCTCCTCCTCCCTCCTCTCCCCGCCTCTCCTCCTCCTGCCTCTTCCTCTGCCTCCTCTCCTCTCTCCTCCTCCCCTCCTCCTCCTCTCCTCTCCTCCTCCTCCTGCCTCACCCGCCTCTCCCCTCTCTCCATCCTCTCCTCCTCTTCCTCCTCCTCCTCTCCTTCTCCTCTCCTCCTCTCCTCTCCTCTCCTCTCCTTCTCCTCCTCCTCTCCTCCCTCTCCTCCTCCTCTCTCTCCTCTCCTCTCCTCTCCTCTCTCTCCTCCTCATCCTCTCGCTCTCCCGCTCACGTCTCGGCTCCTCTCCTCTCCTCCTCCTCCTCCTCCTCTCTTCACCCCTCCTCTCCTCCTCCTCTCCTCTCCGCTCCCTCCTCTCCTCTCCTCTCCTCTCCCTCCTCATCCTCTCCTCTCCTCCTCCTCGCCTCCCTCCTCTCCCCGTCCCCCTCCTCTCCCTCCCCCCCTCCCTCTCCTCGCCTCCTCCTCCTCGCCTCGCCTCTCCTCTCCTCTCCTCTGGGGGTTGCTGCTCTCTCCTCGCCGCAGGGGCGGTGGCTCTCCTCTCCTCGCCGCCCTCTCCTCTCTCTCCTCCCCGCCTCTCCTCTCCTTCCTCTCCTTCTCCTCTCCTCTCCTGCTCCTCCCTCTCCCCTCCTCTCCCCTCCTATCCCCGCCGCCCCTCCCTCCTCTCCTCCTCCTCCTCGCCACGCCCTCCGCCTCCTCCCCTCCCCGCCCCTCCGCGCCTCTCCTCCTCCTCTCCTCTCCGTCTCCGCTCCGCGCTCCTCGCTCGCCTCTCCATTCGCCTCCTCCTCCTCTCCGCTCCTCCTCTCAGCCTCTCCTCCCTCTCCTCTCCTCGCCTCTTCCGCTTCCTCTCCTCGCCCGCTCCCGCTCCTCTCCTCGCCGGGCTACTCTCCTCCTCCTCTCTCCTCTCCTCTCCTCATCTCTCTCCCCTCTTCCTCTCCTCTGCTCTCCCCTCCTCCCTCTCCTCCCTCCTCTCCCTCTCCTCCTCCTCTCACCTCCTCTCCCCTCCGCGCTCGCTCTCCTCTCCTCTCCGCTCCTCTCCGCCTCTCTCTCCTTCTCCTCTCCTCTCCTCTCCTCATCCTCTCCGCTCCGTCCTCCTCTCCTCTCCTCGCCGCTCAGCTCCTCCTCTCCTCCTCTCCTCCTCTCCGCTCCCCGCTTCCTCTCATGTCCTCGCCTCTCCCATCCGCCGCTCCCTCCTCTCCTCTCCGCTCTCTCCCTCTCCTCTCCGTCTCCGCGCCTCGCTCCTCTCCTCTCCTCTCCTCTCCTCTCCCCTCCTCTCCGCCTCTCATCTCTCCTCTCACTCCTCCTCTCCTCCTCCTCTCCTCTCGCTCCTCTCCTCCCTCTCCTCTCCTCCGCTCCTCCTCCTCTCCTCTCCCCCTTCCGCTCCTCTCTCTTCCTCTCCCCTCCTCCTCTCCTCCTCCTCTCCTCCTCCTCTCCTCTCCTCTCCTCGGCCTCTCCGTCTCCCCCTCTCCCCTTTCCTCTCCTCCTCCTCTCCTCTCCTCTCCTCTCCCTCTTCCTCGCCTCTCCTCATCCTCTCCTCGCCTCTCGCCTCCCTCTGCCTCCTCCTCTCCTCCTCTCCTCTCTCTTCCTCTCCTCTCCTCTCCTGCCTCCTCTCCCCGCCTCGTCCATCCTCTCATCTGCCCCCTCTCCTCTCCCTCCTCGCCCTCCCTCCGCTCCCTCTCCTACTCCTCTCCTCGCCCCTCTCCTCAGATCCGCCTCCCTCCTACCATCCTCGCCTACTCCTCTCCTCCTCTCCCTCATCCTCCTCTGGTCCTCCTCTCCTCCCTCATCCCCGCCTCCTCCTCCCCATCCGCCGTCGCATCCGCCGCGCCTTACTCCTCCCCTACCTCCCAGGCTCGAGGCTCTGACGTGAGACTCCACCACAGCAGCCAGACACTGTATTCTAAGGAGCTTACATGCCCCAACTCCACTCATGCTTTTACAGCATGCTACAGATATGAATGTTTAGCCCTCACTGCAACCTGCTGTAGCATGAGACATATATGATGTAGGCTGCTCATGGTTGACCTACTTGTAGCTGAATGAGCTGTCATCTGGACCCTAAATGGTCTAATGGGGCTGTGTGTGTATGTGTGTGTGGTGTGTGTGTGTGTGTGTGTGGTGTTTGGTGTGTTGGTGTGAGAGAGAGAGAGCTAGAATGTGTATGATTATTGTAGACCCCCTGCTATTCAAGTAGCTTGTTGGTGGTTAATAATATTCTCACAGTGACAGAACTACCGTATTTATGTAGGCTGATGGCCGCAAGTTCGGACCCGAGTTAAAGGAACGGATTTCCCTTTTTATGGAACTTTTTCTCTCTATGCGTATTCTGATACTGGAACATGCTATTCGATCGACCGCTATTTCGTTTAGAGGTGGAGATCAATAAATGACGGTGTGGTGGAGGTGTATCTACAGATGCAATGGTATTCTGACCTTGACTTAATTCCCCCTAATAGTTCCCCCACCTTTACTCACGAGGAGCCATGAATAACGTCTAGCGAACCTACCGGTTCCTCCTCCTTCTCTCCTCCTCCTCTCCCCTCCTCTCCTCCTCCCCTCCCCCTCCTCTCCCTCCTCTCCTCCTCTCCCCCCCTCCTCCTCCTCTCCCAGCGAACCTACCGGTTCCAGGTGGGAAAAACATTTACTTCGGATAGAAATAACACCATTCTCCATGCACTGTAATTTACAACTTGATAAGATCTATTGATAAGAGCTAGGTACATGAATAATCCGTTTGGAGAAGGGTGATTGTAAATTCAAATAGCAATTGTTTTAGATGATTTTTTCTTTATGATCCCTGGAGACGAAAGTGAAACCAGTCATATGGAAGCAAACTGAACATCATATCAACATCACATGCATGGCGGCCCCTTTTCCACAGTGAAGTAGGCTATAAACAGATGTGCCGTTTTTTCAGAATTCTAATTGTGTGTCCTCATAATTTGCGTGGATGAAATTTGGAGACCCAAACAATGGGCTTCCGTAGGGCGGAACCTGCTGAGTTGACGTACGCGCTTTAGAACGTTTTAATTATATGCCCGGGCCTTTTTCCTCCGTTTTATTTTATAATTTGTATCATGTTAAATATTAGCCACTAATCGGGAGCCAACCGTCATTAATACCCACATATATATATATATTTTAATCATTCCATTCCATTTACCTTTCTTTCCTCTGTCACGTCCTTGTAAATTGTTCCCGAGAGACGCATAATTGGATCATATTAGGCTAACGTTGTGCCATCATTTACGACATTTTGAATCGTTGTGGAACTCAGACCACACTTAGCAGGTTAAACCTGGAGCACGGGTTCACGACGACACTTAGCAGGTTAAACCTGGAGCACGGGTTCACGACGACACTTAGCAGGTTAAACCTGGAGCACGGGTTCACGACGACAGGACCGTTGTGATACAATTCCATGATTAGTGAGAATTAGGGTAGATTTATAGGATTATTGTTCAACCCCTATTCTACAAATGTTTCCATTATTTCATGGCTTGAACTTGAATATGACAACTTTCAGGATTGAATCAAACCACTGTATTTTTTTATTCATCAATATATTTAGTGCGTAAAGGCTCTCCAAACCTGTTTAATTGTGATTCATAAATACTTCCATAACCCCTAAAATGTGCCTAAATAATCTACAAGATGAGAGTCTTTTTAAATCTACCAGTTGGTGCTGAAACAGAGAGATGAATATGCATATATTTAGATGCTTTAAATTGATCCCTAATATTCTGAGCCGTTCTAATTGATCTGTCGATAAAAATTCTAATTTTAAAGGTAACCCAACCATATCCAAAGGGATGGCTTAAGATAAAATTTACTGTAAAACCCATGATTGAAAACTTCCAAGACAAACTGTTAAGTGGGAGTTTTTCATCGGTTTGAATTAGATGTACCCCCTTTCCCCCCCTTTCCCCTCCCTCCCTCCCGGGTCGGGGGTTGACATGCTACTCCACCCCAGCAGCCAGACACTGTGATTCTAAGAGCTTACATGCCCCAAATCACACTTCATGCTTTTAACAGCATGAGACAGATATGATGTGAGCTCTCATTGCAACCTAGCTTGTAGCATGAGACAGATATGATGTGAGCTCTCATGGTGACCTAGCTTGTAGCATGATGAGCTGTCATCTGACCTAAATGGTCCTAATGGGGCTGTGTGTGTATGTGTGTGTGTGTGTGTGTGTGTGTGTGTGTGTGTGTGTGTGTGTGTGTGTGTGTGTGTGTGTGTGTGTGTGTGTGTGTGTGTGTGTGTGTGTGTGTGTGTGTGTGTGTGTGAGAGCGAGAGAGCTAGAATGTGTATGGATTATTGTAGACCCCTAGCTATTCAGTAGCTGGTTTGTGTTTAATTCTCACGTGACAGAAAATACAGTATTTATGTAGGCTGTATGGCCCAGATTCGGACCCGAGTTAAGGGAACGGATTTCCCTTTTTATGGACTTTTCTCTCTATGCGTATTCTGATACTGAACATGCTATTCGACCGCTATTCGTTAGAGGTGGAGATCAAATAAATGAAGGTGTGGTGGAGGTGTGTCTACAGATACACTGTATTAATGAAGGTGTGGTGGAGGTGTG